GAGGGTTTGAGTGGTGTAGGGCTGGAGGAGGACAATGAAAGAAAGGGGCCGCATCTAGATTGTCTGTTCCGTCAGTAGTGAAGCACAGAGAGTGTACAAAATCATGTAAACATCTGGTGAAAAACTAATGCAATCACCAAAGCAGGCACAGTGATGGTGATTAAATAAGATGGTTCATTTCAGTGTGATTGCCAATTAGCAGCATTTATCAGCAACAAAATCAGTCAGCACTTTGATTCTCTCAAGACTACTAAAAGAGGTCCAAAGAAGCCAACTTGTCTGTCCCAGTATTCAGGAGCACTGGAAAAACATAACACCAAAGAAAATGCAACAAATATGATGTACTACAGCATATGAATAGAAATAGTCTGAAAAAGCATGACAAAAGACAGACTCTTTGGAGAAAGCTGTTTATAGTCGATGGATGCAAGGGGTTAACGGCTTTCCTGCTGTAGACACTTTTGTTTTGATTCATAATTCAGTGTCACATTTCACATACTGCAGCTACATGACTACTGATATATCATACATGATCAATGTTAAGTTGTGACAGAGCCAAAGTGGGCTATGCATATACCTAACCAGAGTTACACAGAAGTTAACTTCTTTTTCTCTGTGTCTGATTACTGAAGATGACACCGCTGCTGTTCATTTGCCATATTGACATTGTTTCATTGATTAGGATAATGAACAGGGATTCGGGTAAACAGAAGGATTCCACTGGAGATGTTTACTAGACGTGTGTTACTGAAAAGAGTCTTCTTTTCATCAACTTCCTTAATGTTGTCTTCACCACCAAGTATTTCTACCAGCATCAGAAAAAACAGGCAGCCCGGAGTGCGGTCTCCGTGTTTTATCTCGATAGCTGTGTAGCACCAACATGTAGTTGTATGTTTGGAAAGCCTCCACCCCACCCCTCTACTCACCTGATTTGGGTTTCACAAAGGGACCCATTGCCCTTTGCAGCATAAAACCCCAAAACCTGAGCCAACATGGGATTATGCATACTTTAGTAATGAATCAATGAATGAAAGACTGAGTCACAGGTGATGGAGCAGGCTATGTGGGCAGTGGACAATGTCCAAACTAAACCACATCGGGGCTGATCTCTCGCAACCTTGATACTAAGCCAATAGTGTGTGTACCAACAGACACCACAAGTGTTGGCCTAATACCATGAAACTGTCGTGAGAGGTTTGTACCTGCTAATCTCAATGACACACTGTGTTCAGTTAAAACATCAGGGTGTTGGGAGTGTCTTGAAATGTCAGTGGGAGGAAACAGTTTTTGTTTCGTTGCAGGATGTTCTAGAAAGTGAGTTTTGAAACTAAGAGATCTTGGAAAATGTTGTGTCACACATATTGCCCAACATGCCCACAGTCTCAGCAAATATATGAATTATATTTATGTGTGAAGGTTATTAATCACCACCACGAAGAACATTTTTGTTATTTTGAAGCTTCATAATATGAACAAACCCTAAAGGTACTGACTGGTCCCACTGTCATCTGTACTCATGTAAGTAGCCCCTAACAATGACTCACTGATTTGTTGGAGATGTGCGTGTCTGTGTTTTGGGGAGGCTCACATAGGTTGTGTGAGGAATTGTTTATGAGGGCAGAGGCAGACTGACATTAAGCTGCTGTGCCGTCATCAGTGAGAAAAAGACATTAATCCTCCAAAATCCTGGAGGGGCAGAAGAGGGCAGACATGTGGGTCAGACATGCTGAAGCTGAAGGAGCAGGGGCTGAATGTGATTGTGTGTGCGCACTTGTTTTGAAAGATTCATCAACAGTTTGATGACAGATGTTTGGCATTCTATTATTTGAGGAGGTTTTCACTAGAGGCTATTGAGTGTACATATTTTATATAGTCTAGAGACTATATGAAATATGCAATATGTAATATGCACACTATTTGTTCAATACAAATAATGACTGTGCTATATTGGCAAATAGTATACAAGCAGAACTGCAGTCCAATTTGCATAAGCTCACTGGCATCAGCTGCTTCATTCATGCTTCACAATCAGTGGCTCATTCATCCAGCTAACTAATACCATCCAATCAAATTCTTGCAGGTGTTCAACGTGGCCATTTTAACCTGACACTTCTTGCTATTAGTCTTCTGATATGCTATGCTATGATATATTTTCTATAAATGGTAAAGGTTATCTGACAGGACTTAACTGTTTTTTTCTAACAAGAACTGATGTCAAACAAACTGCGACTTTAAAACACACATTTAAAATTTGAAAATATTTTACTGAGTAGCTCTTCAGTTTTGTGTGTGCATTGTGGGAAATAGTGTTCATCAACAACACACTCAAACATTAGTGATATCAGTTCATGATAGTTTGCCTGTTTGCTTTTTTCTGTATTTTTTCTATGATGACTGCAATTGACCCTTTGCTAAGCAGAGATGGGGACTCGAGTGCGACTTAAGTCGCATGCACAGTGACTTCAGACTCGACTTGAGACTCGTCCTCAAAAGACTTCAGACTCGACTCGGACTCGAGGTGCGGGACTCGTGAACAATGTTTATTTTTAGGAAACGTCTGATGAGCTTGCCGTTATTCCCTCTCTCCGTTACCTATAACCTGCATACGTAACACGTAGCATCTGCTGCGCGCGGCCGCAAGGTGAAAGAGGACAACAAACACCGGCAGCTGCTGTGCCATTCATCATAAACTTTGGCTTTAAAACTTCATAAAACAAGACCCAAACAAAGACGCGCTGAACGCAAATAGGTTAGTAACCTGTGGTAAGTAAACATGTTTAGCTCAGCATTGGCCATCTAACGTTAGCTTGCTTCTTGCTTCAGCCACGACCGATGAGAGGTTTACCCCGACTGTCATTCGTTATGAAAAGATGAATGAGCGTTTGTTTACTTGCCAAACTTGTGGTGGTCGATTAACATAATTATTTACGTCCCGCTGGCTGCCATCACGTTAATTATTACCGTTGGCTAGAAAGAGGTAACAGGTTTATTGTTGATCATGTAACCTTAGAGTTTTATTTAGTTATAAAGTTACACTGGTTTGAGAGTCTAGTGGATTGTTGACTTAGCTGTCAGTGATTGCATTGCACATTATGGTTGCGCTCTGTAAGTTAAAAACGGGTTACAGTTTATTGATTTGAGAGTCAGGAGGATGTGTTGACTTACAGTAGTTTATAAGCTGTCATTAATTGCATTGCACAGGTTGTGCTCTGTAAGTTAAAAACTGGTTACAGCTTTATTGTTGACTATGTAACTTTACAGTTTTATTTAGTTATAACTTACACTGGGTTTGAAAGTCTGGGGAGTGTGTTGACTTACAGTATTTAATAAGCTGTCAGTAATTGTAGACGCATTGTACATTAGGCTACATGGTTGTGCTCTGTAAGTTAAAAACAGGTTACAGGTTTATTGTTGATTATGCAACATCACAGTTTTATTTAGTTAATGTTACACTGGGTTTAAGAGTCTGGGGAGTGTGTTGACTTACAGTATTTAATAAGCTGTCAATAATTGCATTGCACATTACATGGTTGTGCTCTGTAAATGAAAAACAGGTTACAGTTACAGAATTCCTTATAGCCATGCAGTTTTATTAGCAACCTGGATTGAACGCAGCAGGTGATACAGCATTCGTAATAACCACGAGAGACTTGAGACTTGACTTGGACTCTTGGTCAGAGACTTGAGACTTGACTTGGACTCTAGCTCAAAGACTTGTGAGCATCTCTGTTGCTAAGCCATGCCCCAAATACACAGCTGACCAATCACAGCACAGTATAGGACTTGCTGACACTTTAATGGCTGCGTTCCATTGACTCTAATGTAAAATGCGTAGTTTTCTAGCTTTTATTGCTCTATTTTTCCAATGATCTGGCCAAATGCTGTTGCTGGGGCACTTGTAATAATTACAGTCGCTACCCAGAGAGTTTGAAAGGAGAAGTACGATTTATTTACTTTCCAAAACCTAAAACAAATCCAGAAAAATGTAGGCTGTAGATTGTTTCTAATGTAATGTTAGTTAGCTAACTTACTACTGAATAGGCCCATATAAACCCACTGTTCTGCTTTTTAATGAATGTAATTGTAAATAGAGACCTACCCATCTGCGATAAAAGTCTGACAGGTCTGACAGTTAGCAACAGTAACTAAGGGGGCGTTGCTTAACGAAGGGTCAATTAGTGCACAGGACACAGTCCTCCTTCAACATCAAAGAAACTATTTGTATATCCATTGATCCACCACTATTGATCTGCTCACCCTAATCAATAGGTTATTCATCTTCTTTGTCCACAGCAAGGTTAACTCCTTGGATTAGGCGTTACGTGACGAGTGGATGTTAATTGACAAATCTCTACAGATTGGAACGTGTAAATGCACAGTACATAATAATATTGAAGGATCTGTTACGAGGTGTGGTGTGTGGACAGAGAGGACCCAAATGCAGCACTCTGAAGGAAGGAGGTTTATTGAGGGAAAAAGGGTGAGAGGGACTGGAGTGGAGGGAGAGGAGGACGTCGGGGAAGTACAGCCACGGGGAACCAAGGAGTCAGGGGACCAGGGAACCGGGGAACATAGGGGCCGAGGAAGCGAGGAGAGGCGGGGAAACAGGGAAGTCCGAGGAGGAGTGGGCCAGTGGATGAGCCCAGCCGAACGGAGGGCGAGGGTGAGTGTACCTGGGAGGGAAACAGACAGAGAGACAAGGTTAGGGAAGACAGCGACAAGGCACAGGGTAAATGAGAAAAACAAGAAACATGGAAGCCTGAACACGGAAGTGGCACCAGGTATGGAGCAACGACGATCAAGCGAGGATGGAGTGGAGAACCGGGGTTTAAATACAGGCAGTCATGAGGTGATTACTGGCAGGTGTGGCAGGCTGACGAGGTGGCTGATGAGATGCAGGTGCAGGTAGTTGGCTGGGCTCAGGAGCAGAGGGAGAGAGAGAGCACACAGGGGAGAAAACACAGGGAGGCAGGCAAAGAACAGGCAGAAAAACTGATAAAAAGGAGAAAAAACCAGGACACTCACCGTCAGCCGGGCTGCCACCACAACAGGATCGATGGTGTGTGCTGTACAGACTTTGAGGCAAATTTTGTGGTTTTTAAATGAAATAAAACTAACAGGAATGTCTTATGTAAAACAAAATGTCACGATAAACACTGACTTTAAACCTCTGTTAATAATACTGAATCTGAATAAAAAATGTTTTTAAACTCACACACACACACCGCGCTGTAAATGAGGAGAGAATTGCCCAATTTTAATTAGTAGCTGTTAAAGTGACTAAGAAACAAAACAAGAGAGCAATAAAAAGAGCAAAAATACATAGAGTGTGAATGTCAGAAAGACTGACCTTTTCTTTGGACCAATACTTTGTGACACTTATTGAGTGAGCGATCAAAGCCCCGATGAGTCATCCTGGTGAAATGTAAATCTCATTCCTGAGTCACTGAGAAAGAAATGATAGAAACAGAGACACACAGAAACATTATGCAGCAGCAGAGAATCAGAATTAAATGTCTTGAGGGAATACCCTTGCATAGTCATTTCTGTTTCTACAGAAGCACAGTGGGAAGACAACTCCCTTTGGTTTGAAGCAGGCAGAAAGGACCAGTAACACAAAGAGTCCAGATGTGGAGGTAAAAGTCCATCTATGTGCACAATGAGACTACTAAAAAGCTTATCTTTGTGCCCATTCAATTCTTTGCCCAGATTCTTGGTTTGAGGTGAAGGTTTGGTGTCGGTCTTGGAGAATTGAAAAGTAAGGGCTTTGACTTTTTTGACATTTTGCAACTTTAAAAACTGAATAAGAAAAAAGATGAGAAAAGGCAGAAATGTTACTTTAACAGCTGCTTTGAAGGCCAACCCATTGTCACTCCCAGGTTTTCACATATGGATGCACTGTTAAGACCCCTTGGCATTAGATTGAAACGCAATGGGGGAAGGTAAAGGTAGGTGTAGGATATATACCAGTAAAGTCCAAGTAAGGAGACAGTTGAGATGGTAGGGCCTAGAGGTCGACCGATTAATCGGCCGATTTTTGGCATTTTTTAACATAATCGGCATCGGCCAATATCCAAGTATATCAAGCCGATTATTAGACAGGCGCATCTGTGGGCAGCCTAGTGTTGTCGTGGAACATGTGTTTGACGCGCGCTGACGCTAGAGTCATTTTCCAGCCGAGTGAGCAGCAGACCTCATCCAGTGCCTAAGGAGCTAACGGTAAGGATTCAATTCTTATTATTCCTTTATATTTAATTAAAAACTTTTGATATGTTACTGCCAACTTTGAGAAAAAACCTGAATAAGACACATGACATTTGGCTAATTTGGATCGTAGTTGAAGTTGCATTATCACAGAAGAGTTGCTATCATGTCACAATAAGTAAGCAATAATTTTGCAATTACAGAGTTAATCTGAGACTTATTTGTTCTGTTTGTGTGTCTTATATTTGAGAGGGTTGTCACTCAATGCAGAGAAATAAGTAATAAAAAAGAGACCAACGCACTATAGGCTAGTAACAGACTGGCTTTGCTTTGCTAACGGGTAGCTACAGACAGACCCGGTGCTAATACGGCACTGGAACCTTAACGACCGTTATCTACCGCACCGAATATCAACGCGGATTTCTGTGCTTCAGTTCGGTGCAAATAGAGGTTAAAAACCAAGCAAATATCGGCCAAATTAAATCGTCAGCATTAATCGGCCATCGGCCGACCCGGATTTCAAAAGATCGGTATCGGCGTGAAAAAAACCATATCAGTCGACCTCTAGTTGGGCCAGAAACCGGACTTTCATGAAGAAGACCAGTATTCATTTTCCCTGTGTTTAAGTTAGATAAGTAACGTAACTTTTGTAACCTAAGTTAGGTAAGTTAAGTCACATACATAAGTATAAGCGATGATGTTTCCTAAACCTAATGTGATGGGGAAGGCAACAGGGGTTTAGCACTAGGACCCAGGTAAAGGGGCAGAGTCTATAAATAGGGAAGGGAAGATCACCTGGTCCTTTCTTTCTGCAGTCACACACCTGAGGGAGCAGCTGAGGCCAGCCTTTGTTTGGTTCTTGATTGGGTAGGCTCTATTTTTAAATAGGTTTTACTTTTAAAAATGTGTAAAAATCTAAGGCTAATAATGCATTTCCAGAACTAGATCTTAGAATAATTTGTAGTTTATTTTATTAAAGAGAAGTTGAAGAATTGTTAAAAAACCTGTTATTTATTAGACTTCGTGGTGGTGAGGGTCCAAAGCTTGGAGTGATTGTCCAAACACATCAGCTAAAGCACAGGTATGTGTAAGATGGTTTTAAACAAGATTTTAGCCTTTTTTATATGAATGTAACAGGAATATTTGAAAATATAGATCCCAGTCACCTGCATGCCTTCAACGGCGGGAGGGGAATGTGTTTCTAAGTCAAACAAGGTATGATAATTGTTACATTTGCTTATGTTTCATGAAATGTTTCTTTTAAAGTGTTTTTGTATCTTACTGTGTTTTGTTTGTCTTGTTTCAAATAGAAGTTATTAGGAGAGCCAACCACTGTTTTTTCCCACCGGTTAGTTTTATTGTGCTCACACTAGATCCTTGAATGGGCCATATTTTGTGTTTCTGGCTGTGTTAAAGGGGGAAACTGAAAGACAGAGTAACCATTTTGCATGGGTGTTTTGTGTAATTAGTGTGTAGCATGCAGATAGTGTTTTTCCATAGTATTTGGTTTAATTGGTTTGAGTGTGTGGGTTATTTCCTTATTTGTTTATCAGTTTGGTTATAATTTGTTGGTGCTCAATTCTACATCAGTTTCCCTGGTAACGCAGTCTAGTCCTGAATTGTGTTTTTCTTTTGTTTTGATGTAACAAATAAACTTTATATTCCTATATTGATATAGTAGCCTCTGGTCCAGTTTGTTCTGGCACTTGTGTATGAAGCAGCGTGTGGTTTACACTAACCAAGAAGTTGTCTTGCCTAAACCTAACCAAATTTCAACTTTCACAACATTAACCACTAGTTTTATTTTGAAAGTCTAACCAGATGATGCATATTTAATAATAATAATAATAATTTCCTGCGATGGACTGGCGACCTGTCCAGGGTGTACCCCGCCTTTCGCCCAATGTCAGCTGGGATTGGCTCCAGCCCCCCGCAACCCTGTACGCGGGATAAGCAGTTGACGATGGATGGATGGATGGAATAATCACAACTTGACTATGGAGCCCTACACATCAAGAAATATTGATAAAGACGTAACCTGGGTGTTAAAAAGCGATGCCAAGGGGGGGGTCTTGACTGAGCGTCCATTTGTGAGAAATGCATCCATAACACACATTGCACTTCCCCAGTTTTCCTCAAATTGCCTTTTTGATACGATCACTTCTTGGCTCTTCACCTACACAGCCTGAACAAATCCAGGCATGCTCACTCATAGTTTCATATAGTCTAGAGACTATATGATTGAATTTATTTTGAAAATTGAACAAAATGGGGGGCGATGGCGCAATGGATAATATGCCTATGGTGTGAGAGACCCGGGTTCAATCCCCCACTGTGACTCATCCACCAATGTGTCCCTGAGCAAGACACTTAACCCCTAGTTGCTCCAGAGGTGACCTCTGACAAGTGTAGCAATTGTAAGTCAATTGTAAGTCGCTTTGGATAAAAAAAGCATCAGGTAAATGTAAAATAAGTTAACTCTTTATTACAAAATATCTCCAGGAATATGCTAAAGATGATCATGACTCATATCAGAGAGTCCAAAGACACATTTTATCTTTTATTATCACTGAGTACATTGCTTCCTTTTCCATGTAACTTCCATTTGTGCTAGTTTACCTTCTTTTTCGTCATCCCATCTCCCTCTGACACAGATTCTAATAATCACACGTAGGTCTAAATGAGAAAAGCACTTCTGGTCTTATTCTGAGTCATAAATTATAAGCTTGATCTGAGAAGACCATCTAAGTGGTAACTCACTGGTAACTGCAGCATTGCCAGAGTAGTGACGGGTCAGCTTTGATCTATGAATTGCTGGTAAATTGTTGATTGGCATAATTCTTTTTTTTTTTCCAGCTCTACCAGCCACTCAGGCAGCTAGTAAATCATCGTCTTGTGTTTGTTTTCATGTTGTAAAAATCAATTTGCCTTGTAAAAAGGTAGAAGAAAAGATCACAAGGTAATTTCCTGTCTCCTGAAAGTCAAGTCACTGACGTAAGCCAATGCTCATTTAATCTACCGTTGCTCCTGATGGGAACGCTTCCTTGATATTAAGTGAAGGCAGTTATACTCTAAACCAGGTTATCTTTTCTTTGTTTGACTGAGTTTTACTGCTATAAAAGCAAAGCTAGGAGTCTTGATAGGAAAGGCTCCGTGGTGTCTGTTCATTAAGGAAGTGATCAATGCCCTGGAAATGAGCCTTTCTACCTGAATTCAATCAGTGACGGAGTTAAAGCCTGTTATCATGAAGTACCTCTGGCAGTGATGAAAGGGTATGAGGCAGGCAGACGTCTCCCAGCTGAGAGGAGCCGGGCGGGGCTGGATGCTAGCAAGGCATTTCCCCTCTGAGTGGAATTCCTAGAGGGGATCTGGAGCAGGAAGCAAGGAGTTGGTCAGTGCTATCCCATAATTCTGTGTAGTTATGTTTGAGGTTTTCTGAGCAGAATTGCTACAGAAAAAAATGTATATAGAAATTATTTTTGCAGGAATATTTCCTTAAAAATGCTATTTGTAATCTGTTGATATGTTCAGTAATGCAATCTAGTTACTGCAAGGTTATTTTACCATGTGAGGTATAGAGGAGAAATCACAGAGCAGGACAGCTTTTCAGCATTTCAGTTTGGAATACAAATAGAAACTTTGTTACAATTCAATGTAAACCTATCACAGTTTGAACAGCTGTCTAGTCTCATTTTTCACATGAGTTTCCCTCAAGTATTTGTGAATAAATCCACAAATACTAATTCATTATTTTCTAAATAAACATACATACGCATAATTTTTTTGTGTGTGTTTAGATTACATAATGCCACATTGTATTACATGGAGCCACTGCTACATATAATACAAGCAAGTTCACTGAAAATGATTTGCCAATTCAAATATATTGGCTGCCCTGTATAATAAAGTGAAAACAAAAAAAATCAACCCACTGTGACATTTTTTTGTTAGCTGCTGATGTAAATGGTCCTCTCCCTCACTTCCGATGATTATGCTTCAACACTCGATTGGTACTGGTCCTGGGGGAGATGGGCTGCAATTTTGGGTCTGCCTGACACAAAGCAGGACCACAGTTACATAAGCAGACCGTATCCTTAATGAATTATGTCCTGTGAAATATATCAAACTACAGTATTTTGAATTTAAAAAGACACATTTCAAGAATAATATATGTGGTGTAAATATAGTCACCTGGATTATGTTCATATAAAATGGATTTTTCAGTTGGTTTATTCCTAATATATTGGAAATCAAATGGTTGCAACATGATTAGGGGGTTAGGTAAGTAAAACCATTCACTGAAGGTCATAACGAAAATGTCTACAGTGGTATCAGATGAGACATGAGAAATGTGACACTGTTTAGACATCTAAAACAACCCAACCCATC